AAGAGGTATGTAGTAGGTAGGGACTAGGCTTGATCTCCAGAGTATGTGTAAGAACTATGTGCAGAAAGTATAAGGTAGGTTCTTGGCCAGGCACGACCAGGACCAATACAACCATCACCAGTGGTTGCCCACAGTACGATGCGAGTCGCTACTAAGTACAGAATTGAGTATAATAAGGTTGTGCTTGTGGTCTTGCAACTTGCAACTTTGAGATCATGGGGGCCGACCATTGATCATACGGTTCACACCTCATACCCGTATACGGCCTCGATCAGAGGGGGAGCGGAAGGCTAGGTAGAGGGATACGTAAGGATGGGCTGCAGATCGCGCTCTCTGCAGGTCAATGTGACGTTTGCGAAGCCGTGTTGGGGCCCTGGCTACTGGCCCTGGCACGCCCAATGTACCTAGTACCTATTCACGGTTGTGGATCGAGTCAAGCCCACCATCCGGCTGTAGCTAAGTCTTTTTTAGTGCAAGTGTTCGTGCCTTAGCCAGTGGAGGAGCTGGGCCAAGGCGCCTCCCCTTGTCCTACCTCAGCAAGGTGACATTCAGGATAGTGCACTTCAAAAGAGCACTTACCTATACTGAACGTGATGCGAAAAATAGTTTAATGTTAGGAGACATTAAATCTACTATATGAATTATATGGCTACTCTCCTTAAGGGAGATACTATGACCTTGAAAACTCCTCGTGTTAGATACCTACGTGTAGCTTGAACCCTAGAACAGTGACTTCGGGTACTACTACTACTGTAGTAGTATTGTGCAGTGCATGCCGCTTTAAGCATTTCAAAATCTGGGCTAATGCATGGTAGAAATCACTGCCTCTATTCCTATGCAGCAGGTTCATATATGAAACAACAGATCGAACATTTGACGTAACAAACTACTATCCTCTTCGATTTATTTATTTGTTTAAAGAAATTGTACTGCAGTCGTGACGCTTCGCATTTGGCATCATGAGAGTTAATGCCGAGCTAAGAACTTGCATTCAGTATCTTGCATGTAGGTAAGGTATTTCTCTGATAAGTGAGCTTTTCTATGCATCCCAGTGTCTCTCGATACAAGCCCCTTTACCCAAACCACAGCGGTTCTCTCTTCCCACAAGAATTCTCTTGATCGTCATGGCAATAAATAGATCTATATAACTAGGGCAGATTCATTCTCTAATCGTCCAGCTATGTTACACTACTTAAGACTTAATGGTCACGGCACGACGCAAGACGCATGGCAGTGAACTCTGATTCTGATTCCATTATCAATCCAGCCACCATGACAATATGAAATGAATAAAGAACCGAAGTGCCAGTCCAATTCTCTGTGTACGACGATGGCGTCAACTTCGGCGCCTTAGAGTGTCACGTATAACAGTACCAACAAGGTACGAAAGGATAGAAAAGCCATTTCCGTCCAGGCGAGTGATGAAGTTGGTGTGACAGAACACGACTTTCCCCGACCCAGCTGATTTCTAAGTCCACATTAGCGAGGACAATATCTAGGCCGGTTCTTAACAGAGGAACTCCCCGGACGCCACCTGGATCAAGAGTGGCTAATGGTAGGCAAGGCTACACGGTCAAACATAATCCATATCCTAAAACGCCACCTGGATCAGCTTCATGATCTTCGTCCACCCGCACCGAGCTGGACCGAGTCTTGCTCCGGGAGACTGGCTTTTGATTCCCTAGGTGTCAATGAGTGATGGCACCCACGATCTTTCGAGGCAGTACATGTTTTCAACACTTTCCTCGTTAGCCCAATCCGTGACCGGCACCGTCACGGAGTTGGATGACATCCATTGACCCCGTTTTCTTTCCGACAGCTCCAACTTAATGTCTGCAAGTGCTGATTTGAGAACATACTCCCCGATGGCTTCGGGTAGTGTTGCAGGGATTGCAGACCGGGACAAAGCATGCTATCGGCCGGTATGGTGGAAATACAGGAAGGCTCTTTTCGGTTCGCGGAATAAGACGTGGTGGCGTTCTATTGTTGGCAGATCATGTTGTGGCGTGACGAGAAAACTCAACCTTATATGAACATTAAGATGTTTCGAGGCTGACTGAAGCAGCAATTTCGGAACAATCTTTGTGCTCCATATGATACCTCTAAGCCTTTCAGCAAGGCGTGGGGTTCCTAAGCCCAGCAGCTTATAACAACGGTTTTTTCTCATGTCGAGGTAGGTATTCGCAGTCAGTACTTGCGTTGGCCGAGAATTGAAGTTGAGATGAATATTCCGAGCAAAAGCAGCGAATACGCTAGCCCCGATCTGATGTTGCAACCAAAACAGGCAATACAATTCTCGCTAGCATCCTCGTAGCTCATTGGTACGAAGGGCAGTACAATGCACCTGTTAGCAATAAATAGACTTGTGCAACCTGGGCGAAGTTTAGTTTGCATTACTATTGGTACGGTAGCCTTCCTGGCGCTTTTTGGTACCTGAATCCCCCTTTTCTTCCCCTTCTTTGGAATGGCCTCGGTTCAAGGATGCATCCATTCCTTAGAAACCCAGTAACACCTCCCAGTGCAGCACACGAGCTTAAGTGGGGAGACCTGCTCGGTAGACACTACTGGAGTAATACGCGATACCTGTAATAGGGAACCCCTGGCTCGGACTCGGCTATCGAAGGCAGGAAAGAAAACCATCACTGATATCTACTTCGATATCCTTTCTCTCGGGGCTAAAGCTGCTATCCTGGAGATTGTGCCGTGTCTAAGTGATATATCAGTCCCCGGAATAGTTAGAGACATAAAGTTAGACTATGCGTCTCGCCTATCATTGCATTACTGTGATATTTTCGAGAGACGAACGCACATGTTGTGGCTGCAGATTGCCTCAGTATGAACTTACTATGCGGGCCAGCTGTCGAGTTAGGTTCGATTCCTGACAGGACTATTGACATTCGCTTTAGCTCATCTGAGACATACTTAATTGCAGGATCGATTGCTAGCGTCGTGATCTGGTCTCACAGCAAAGGAGAGAAAAAATATTCAAACGCAAGGAACAAAGCCCCACACCATGGATAGATAGTTCAAACGCACCTATAAGTCGGCGCCGATACCAAGGACCGAGTGAATTCAAGACACATCACCAACTGTCTCAGAACACCATAATACCTAACCTATCTATTGCCATGATATGATAGAATTGTAAGAAGACATAGGGCTGAAGCTTACAAAACTTAACACAGTTAATGTTTTATCAGTCGCTAGATTTCCTCGGCTCAGTCTGCCGTTTGTCTAACCTAGCAAGCTGTCGTGCCGAACTTTATACTGAATCCCTGCTTCAATACCCCTGTGATCTCGAGCCGAAACTACCGGATCGACGAGACTAGAGAGCGAATCTAGATGCCCACGAATCTAGCGCCTATCCAAGTTTCTAAACATGTACTTATTGCCGTGAGACGCCTTGGTATTCTATGAGAGTCAGAACAACCTACAGAAAAGCGGGAGATATTACAGCTATACTGAAAAGATCAGATAAGCCAAGCCCGCCTTAATCTGCAAAACACGAAGGGGTCAATCCTACCGTGACTTCAGCCCAAATATAGCATCTTGGAGACCAGGTACAGCCGACAGGCGGCGGTGAACAAGAACCCCCTCGAGCGTAACAACAACAACGAATAATTCGAGGCGTAGCATCTATCTTGGTGCCGTAGCAATCTTTGCTTATTGTCTACTATATGCAGATGACATACACATCACCCAGCGTCCCGATCAAGATCTCGTGGCTGCCTGCTTCTCTGGTTGCACTATTGCATGTAGGCTAGATTATCACAGTCATGCTCGAAGAGTCGGCAGTAGGAGCCAATGAGGTGTTGAAAAAGAAATCAAGGGCATCCGACGCATTGTCGCGAGAACAGGCTTTGCGGTACAAAAAGTGCCTAATGTTAGTCCACCACATTGAAGAAAATGCGCCGTCCATGAGCGGCGTTGGGAATTAAATCCCTAATCAACCGTCAACGGAGTCTAGTGTGCTTCGTATGCCTACAATACAAGGCTATGCCAGCCAGCGATCGTGACCTGGCCCGCACATGTAAGCCCACGTATTCTACACTACTTCAATAGTGCAAGAAGTACGAAGCACGTTTCATCAATCGATTTGTTTTCATCGTAGCCCCGGGACCAACCCGGCAGACGGACGGGAATACAACATTCAATCTGTTGAACAATTTTGCACTTTCCAGACCGCTGGAATATTCCGCGTCTCATCGTACACTGCATTGATCTATGACAGACAGACAGACCCAGAACCAGGTTCTTCATGCCGTCCGACGCTATGCTTTCTCCCGCGCCACTCAGCCCTCCGCCGGCCCATCAGCTGATGACAGGCACTGCCGGCGCATTACATACTTACCTCACTCCTAAGAGTCTTCCGCCCACTCCCGGGCGCCTGTTATAACGCGCATGTCCGGACGTCACCAAATAATCATACGTATGCATATGTATGTGTATGTAGTGCCAAACGTACTTACGTACATGTTGGATGTAACTTCACAGCTCTCACACAACATGACCGGGACGTCGGGTGTGTTTGACAACGGATACACTACATAGATATTGGCCTATTAGCGGGCCTAGTATTGGCATGTAGAATGATATCAGGGCGCTCTACTCCAATCTCAGGCGGCTTCAATGATGATAGATAGTGATGCCTGCTGCAGTGCATGCAGCACTACCTGACCATTCGCTCGATCCGCGGGCGGCCCAGCTAGTAATGCTGTTAAGCCATGTTATTATACGCACAGCAGGCAGTAAGATCGGAGCGGGATGAGCTATATGCCTAATACAATGCACGGCACCAGCCTGCTGCTATCCAATTATTCAGTAGTCTTGTTCAACATATCAGCTCCATGTGTAACGGACGCAGAGAAGGAAAAATTACATGATAGAAAAAAAACTAGGATAGAGACTGGACCGCGGACCACAAGCGTCCCCCACTTAGAGCATCTCGTTTACCCACCACAAAAAGCCACACCGATACCCAAATTACCATTCAGGAACAACGACAACGGCAGGATTTGAACCTACGACCCCGAAGGGATATGATTTCTTAGTTCCTAGCTCCGGAAAGATTCTAGAATTCTAGTCATACGCTTTAACCACTCAGCCACGTTGCCCATATCGATAATGGTCGTTAGATAGTCAGTAGTAGCGTCGTCCGATGTTGTCCTCGGGGTCAAGCCCGTCCCCGCACCTGATGGTATGTACTGAATCGAGGCGGGAATGCGTAATGCAGCACCGACACGCTGGGCCTGTGCACTATAAGTATGTATGTATGTGCGGCAGGCAGTTGTGGCGATCCAGCCATCACAACTACGAGAGTCTGGCCACGGGACAGAAGCGAGAGGCTGGAGCCGAGCGGGAATGATGTAAACAATAGAGTGCCACAAGCTCGGTCCCTCGCGCCTCCATCTCCATAGCGCCATCGAAATGGAAGGCTCCAGCTCCAAAGGTGGCTCGTGATCCAGCCCTGCTGTGCTCGACTTAGTGTCCATAGGTGATGTCTCACGGCGTGCGATGAACATGTGACTACTTAGAGGTTAGAGAAGTCTCACGTCCCGACGAAGATAAACGCTATTCGCTCTACTTTCTGCGTCCTGCATTGGAAAGCTTGCGAGCGAGCAAGAGATACGCACGTACCCCCTCACCACCCCGCTTACCTCACCGCTCGTAGTAAGATTCTGTGTAAATGGCCCGACCGGCTAAGTTAAGTGAGTGGACGTGTGATTGATTGATTACGAGGGGTAGTAGCCCATGCGGCCTTGTCCAGAAAGGCACAGACCAGGTAGATAGATGAAGACAGGTACTGAACAAGGTATGCTATTTAGTTGAGAAACGGAAAGTGTTCGCGTTTGAAATGCTAGATACTGGATAGATGCGATGGCGAGAATCTAGGCCAAAATTGTATTTCAATTTCAAATGCTTTCCTTCTCTTCTCCTCTGTCTTTCATATCTCGAAAATAGTAAGTACGGTAAGCATCGGGATCTCAATCTGTGGTTACAAGTGTGTTTGTGTGCCTCCCTCTATTCCGCCTGTGCACTCCCCATGTCATTCGTCAGCGATGCTTATGCAATGCAACAGTATGGTTCCGAAGAGAGAAGCCATGCAGAAAAACTGAAAACGAGTAGAGAAAGATGAGGAACAGAAAGAAAAAAAGCTAGGTAGGCGACCGCTGAGGTCTTCGATCTCTCTTTCAAAGCTAGATGAACATTCTGACAGAAGTTTCAAATTTCCCTTTCAAGAACGCCGCAAGAAATACCCAAACCCGTCGATTCCCTGAGGAAGGCTTGTGCAAATGTTTGTCTATAAGATGGAGCTAAAGGGGAGGACCGTGAATCGTTGATCAAATCGTCGTTCTCCATTACGTCCGGCGTGGAGACAGGGCGATTTCGTGGATGCGTCGCGTTTTTCCAATTTGCATCATGGAATGATATGGATAAAAATAAAAGGAAGCAAAATAAGATTTAAAAAAAAAAAAAAAACCCTCAAACGCCGGTCTTGGCAACTATAGTGCCTAGATGATGCAAGAGTGTCTTGTGGTACAGAAGGTTGAAAACGGAATGGTGGGGGTTGAGTTATGCAGACAGTCGAATATGTGCGTGATCCGATCCAATCCGGTTCCACTCCAAGTCCTCGCCTTCGAAGTTAGCGTTAGAGCGGCGGTTGTAGCCATGGAGAGGCATTAATCGTCTTGCTGCAGTAGCACGTTTCCACCCGGATAGAGGCCGCCGTGGAGGACGTATTGCTCGAAGGGCAGACAACTGATGGTCTTTCGTGATGATCGGACCCATCGAGGTTTAGGAACCTCTTCCCAGTCCTCGTCGGTAAGGGGATAGAAGTTGTAGGTCTCGTGCGTAGGCAGGTCTTGGTGCTCGCATTCAAATATCCCCTCAAGGTGCATGCGCTCTAATTTCGGCAACCTGGTGGAGAGGCCTGTGAACAGTGATCGGAATGTTCCTTCGTAGAGATGGATTCCACCGTGCGATGCCTCGAACGGCTTGGCTAGCCCGCGGCCGCCCAATCGTAGTCGACGCAGGGTAGCGCCGTGCCGGCCCAAAAACTCCTTGAGGTCTTCTTCATCGCATGAGATACCTTCCAGTATCAAGTCTGTAAGCTGTGTGAAAGTGAAGTTCAGAAGCAGTGCCCCAAAGGACAGCGCAAATTTGGAGTGCTCGCTGGAATATGGGTGGAATGCAAGCTTCAAATGGGTCACATTACTAGCCAGCTGCAAGATGCGACCAAGCCCATTCACAGACCTGAATGCCGAAGTTGGGCCTTGGAGCCCCGACGGGTCCAGGGTCAGATTGAGACTGGAGAGACTATGGAAGGATTGAGCGTGCGTAAACCAATGCGAGCGGTGGTTCGCTAGCCGAAAAACCTCGAGCGGCAGTCGATCCACCTTGAATGAGGACAGCTTAAGGCCATGCTGAGCAAGCATGACGGCATCGAGGTTCTGGTACGTCTCCTGCCGGTCCAACTTCCTGCAGTTTGGCCAGTAAAAGGCCTCCTGGATGAACTTATTGTTGAGCGTGGATGGGCACTGGGCGAAAGACACTTCAAGATCACGAAGATTCGGCAACGCCGAGAAGGCCTCGCGAAGATCATCCGCCCTCAGATGGAGAGGGCCGACCTTCTTACGGCCAGTTGCAATCTTGTCAAACTCCGCTCGAGCGTCAGCCATCAACTCAGTACGCTCCTCTGGAGGTGCTACGAAATGCGCTGCCCTACTTAGCTTCGTATTAGCTAGGCCTTGGTGGACGACACCCAATGGGAAATAATACAAATCACCAAGAATGCTGTACACAAAACTGGAATCGTCATCGCCAAGACCGGGCCCAGAGCAGAAACCCGAGCGGGGGGTCGCGGCGTTGTGATGGCTGCACGGCAATAGAGAGGAAATAGAAACATTCTTACCATGAAGTGCTCCATGCATCGTAATAGGACAACTGTCCAAGGAAGATGTTTACCGACCGAACGCTCCCACGGAGCTTTTCGTGGTGCGCGATATTGTGAAGCCGATCGATGTCATCGCGCCAATTGAGTGAGGTGAAATATGGTGATAGCAAGTATTCATAGCCCACCTCTGCAAGTGTCGTGCTCGCGGCGCGCAAGTTGGGAACCGATTCAAGGTCACAATACGAGTAGATGAGCCTCAGGAGCTCAACCGGAAGAGTATCCATGGGAAGGCGAGTTTCTTTGTCTTCCGCTGGCAAGAAATAGGAAGGGGGAGGGGAAAAGAAGAACAAGAACAAGAAGTTGGAAAACAAGGCAGGGTAAAATAAAAAGGCGGGATGGGATAATATTACTAGGTAGGTTGCAGGAGAGCCGCCAAACTTGAACTCCGCCAGATGATGAGGACGCCAAACCGAAGAAACACGCAACGCCAACAAGGAAAATTCGAGGCAGCGGTATATAAAATAAGAGCCAGTTTCAGTCAGTCTTTCTCGAGTTAATTGAATGTTGTAAAAGGCAGGAAAGACAATCAGAAAACCCGAGAGACGGGTAGAAGGGCTTATACAGCGTTCTTAACGAAGTGGCGGAGAGTCGTCTATTTGCGCCTCTGCGGCCTTCTGCAGCGAGCCTCTCCGGTTTAGGACAAAGGCGGAACGCAGCGAAAAGTATCGGTGAGAGTGAGACACACGTCGGCACAGGCTTTGTGCACTAGTGTCGATATCTGACGGACAGCAGCAGAGAAGAAGTTTTCCTGTAGAATGACTGGCCGGGCGAGACGGGACCCTGTCAGGTGCATCTGACTAGGAAGACTCTACTGGACTAGGTAGGTACGCATATCATCCAGCCCAGGCCTGCCAAGTTTATTACAACACGCGGCCACGAACTAGATAATCAGACAGAACCTGCCGCCAAAGTAGCGGTATGGCGGCGGTAAGTGTCACACTTGCAGCAATCCCGGGCCCCAAGGGCAGAACCAAGGGCAGTGGTACCTACGCTACAAGACTGACAAGGGCCCCAAGCAGAAGGCAGGAGGCAGAACGTGACGGTGAAGGGAATGCTGCACAGTTCCGCCAGTCGGGTCTGTCTACTGTGGCCTGCCATCTTTTAGTACCTGCATTAGATCCCACGAGGCAGCTTGACACTGTGGCAGCAACTGTGATCTCTCGGTGAGCTGGGACGAGAAGCGGCCAGAAATGCGACGTTGAGCAAGAAAACGCCTGTTGATTCGCCTGCGTCATGCTGGGTCACCAAGGGTGCCTGGTCAACTAATTCCTACTAGCCCGGGCGCCCCCTCCGAATCGCTACCCAACGGGAAGGGTTGGTAACGAGAGAACGACAGAAGAGCTTTTAAGGTGAGACTTGGTCTGTCTATGCGCACATACGCATAGTTAACTACCTACCTCCTTTAGATCAGTGTGATGGGCCTACACTAGTGTTCATGGAACTATGAAGGAACAGCAGATCGGCATGTATTTGCTCTGATAAGTTGTTTAGTTTTGGCGTGTTTTACGGCCATGAGCACGGAGTATTAGATATAGCATCATATAATGATAACCCAAAACCCACCGCCTACCAATGCCACTCGCCCATGTATCCTCACTTACTGCTCGTGTCAAGCCATTCCACGATGTTGTACATTGCTGATCCTTGGACCAAACCCCGTCTCTGGATACCAACGCACCATATCCACTGTAAACCCGTCCCGGTAACTGGGTTCTGCAAGTCCAATCCAAGGCCCCGGCAAGGTCAACCCGAATGCCAAGAGGATCCATCCCACAACACGTCAGGAGTCTAGCGTAGCGCGAGCTGCCTCCTAGCGTGCCCGGTATCGTAGACCGCAAGATGCCGATTACTTACTTATAATTTTCCATGTCGTGCCCGGAAAAGGTCCACCTTATCATCGTAGTAGAGGATTTCACGTAAACGCAACCTTGGTAGCTTATGCGCCGTCTCTGCTGTGGAAGAGCCCGTCTCTGATTGGTCATCGTCGGCTCCTTCCCATGCCACTTCATCATCGGGGTCAGTGAAAGGGTCGTTGCCATTTTCTTGTTCGTCATCCGTCGTCTCGTCGCCTTCACTATTTCCGTCGGTGTGGTCTAGATCGTCCACGAACTGAGAATGGCCATTGTCATCATGGATTCCATGGCTGCTACCGTCGCCGCC